ATGGTTTAGTAAGTTGCACGTTAATGCAGAAACAGAAAGTACCAGTGAAACATAAGGAACCAGCAATTTAACAGGCTTTAGAGAACTAAGCATCTTACTTATCAAAGACTTTCTTCTCAAGCCGTGAACGAGAAGTGTTAGCCTGCTGCTTCAGGTCTGTCAGATTTGGGTATTTTTTCTTCTTCCCTTTCTTTTTCCCTTCTTTTCCATTAATTTTAGAGGAACCAAGATCCACTCCTGTGGCTGCTTCAATTTCTCTCATGAATTCTGGATCTCGCCACTCTGTTTTAAAAGAAAAAGCATGCACTTTGAAACTCCAAACCCAGGCACAATTTCCACTTTCCTAAGATACAGGTTTTGTCAAGGCAAGGGCAGAGTCACTGTGCTGTAAGTTGCATACACAAAGGAAGGGTGGATAAAGCAGTTAGCCAAAATGACAGATCTTGATCAAGAAACCCTGTCAGTCTGGGATTAGTATCTATTATTAGCTGCTGCAGATAGAACTGTTCTGTAGGAAGACTTAAGAGAAGTTTTTGCAGTAGCACAGCAGCAAAATTCCAAGGGAACTATTCCATCTAAAAAGGTGACATAAACACAGTGATTACTATTTAGAAATTGAACAAAAGGCCAACGGTGTAGCTGAGCACCTTATCTCCAGAAATAAATTCTGAGTAAGCTTAAAAATAAACCTAAACAAAATGGAATATGTCAACTTTTGAGCAGAGTAGGGTGATGTCATTGGAACTCTTCTGCATCAATCATATTTGCTTCTAAACATGAGCTGGTATCTGACACCTAAATAGCATTCATGAATAAGATGACACAACCCCATTGCCATGAGCCAAATTTTGCATCTGAAAAAGATATCTAAATCAAGTTTATTCTCTTGACAATAATAAGAGTTAATTTATCTCATTGAAAACCTGTTTTACAGTTTTATCAAAACCTTAATGATTCAGAATCCAACCAAACATTGCAAAAGGACTCTGATCAGAGTCTTGCATATCAGAATAAGGTAACATAGTACACAGTAGAAAGTAAAAATGTGGCCAGAGGATGGATATCTTCAAGAGGCAAGTTAGGAAAATGGCATTGCATTATAAAGACTTTGAGTACATGGGTTGAAAAAAAACGTAGCAAACACCACTTCAAAGAATAACATGGTCCAAACTCAGCATAAATGTCAGAATTCTGTGATTTAACCACCAGTAATTGCCACTTATTTGTTATATAGGTCCTCATATGTCTGTCAGCCTTTCTTGCCTGCAAACATTGTAACACCAATGTCTCCTACCCTTATTTAACATCTATGTAGGCATAGAAAAATAAACAGTCCTAAACAACTATACAATTTCACTTACACACCAAGTGACTGTGTGTAACTCACTGAGTGTGATAAGTATTGGTAACAACATTTCAGGAAGGTCAGAGGCTATGTCCTCACTTAAGAACACAACGTTTAGGAATACCAGAGCAATTTTCCAAGGAAAGGTTAGGTCTAACCTGCTATGATACATGAAAGCAAGGACCGATTAAAATCCAACACACCAAAAAGCCAGAGGAAAATGAAGCTGTGCAAGGAACTGAGCAGGAGTATAGAGGGAGAAAATGGAACACCTATAATTGATGGATCATAAGACCTCACAGACTTTTTTTTTTTGAAGGAATACAGAACAGCACAATCCAGATACAGGAACGATTAATCCAAGATTAAGGAAAACTGTCTAAACAGTTTATCTGCCAGTAATAAGAAGGCGTCACAGTTTAGGAACCCCCTGAATGGAGCAATTGTTTAAACACAACGAAAAAATGCTGGCATCCAGTAGAGATGAAATGAGCATTTGAGTAAAACGAAGGAGCAATTTAAAAGCCTTTGAGAAAAATCAATAGGATGCCAGGGAAGAGCAGCCTTTTTGAGCATTGATGGGCCCCTAAAGCTCTTCATACATTGTTACTGAGTTTAGCAGCAGGGAAAAGAAAATTACACAGTTTGCAAGGGTAGGCGGGAATCAATACTGTAGTTAGTAAAGAGATGCTATTTCACATCTGACTGGCCAGCAGCCTGCCTTCACCAGCCTGGCCTGATACCTGTTTGTTAACAAGTCACTAAGGGCTGAAAAACCAGATACTCTTCAGGGTTGACACAAAAAATAGGCACTTAATTTGCTCCTGTGTGCGAACTATTGGAAAAGGATGAACACTGCAGATTAGCAGGTCAGCGTTATCCCACCTGATTCATTGTTTCAGGACTGAAGAGCCCAAAACACTATTTTGTGGACATTACTCAGAGTTTAAAATGTCATACTAAGTTAAAAAATGCTCTTTAATAACAATGGCAATGTTGTCAAAACATCGGCATTATCACACGAACTATATATATTATTTTACGTAATTGTTTTCCACTTCAATTACTCGAGGATGAAAATAAACCTACTATCCAATAGGAAAACTTGTAGGAAGAATTTTGGTGCAATTCAACCTCACCTCATTTTTAATGTCTTCTCAGAATTTTTCAAACTGTTGTCATTAGCAAATGATGTTGTCAATGGTAAGACCAAAGCACTTGCAGTACAGAGGGGTTCCCACTTGTATATCTCCCATAGCAGCACTGTTCAGACTTGCTTCAACTCCTTTGTAAATAAAACCCAAACCAAACATACCCCAATGCAAACCAACCTACACCCAACCCTCCAAACCACAAGTCCAAACAAACAAAAGACCATTTTCAAAGGTTGAAGAAAATACTATAAAACCAATATAAAAACAGTGAGGCACAGAAAAAAAGAAAGCAAGGAAAAGAAGTGGATAAAAATATTTAGTGATATCTGGTGTGTATATACATATATATATAGCTTTGGAAACCTGCAAAGTTTTGTCCAATAAACTAAGCACCACAGCTTGTTCAGTATCTCCCCCAGACAGACGGGCTGGACCTTTGTATGACATCTCAGCTTAACAATGGCACTCAATAATGCAACACAGCAATGTCAACACTGGTTTGGGACTAACATACACATCCATGTGGGCCAGAGGTGAGAAGCCTCTAACAACACCAAGCTGACACTGTAATAAAAATAAATATTATGTCTAGCCTCAAGCAATGGCAATTTCACAGAAAAAAGAAAAAAAATCAATATTTTTCAGTGCAAGTGATTTTTATACTGGAGTATTAGTTTCCAGTTTGAAACTAGTCCCTCAAGAACACCTACTAGCTTAATTTGCTAGTTTTAGTTTGTCATAAACATAGTTTAGGTTTGTCTGGATTGAGAGCAGTCCTGAGAAGGATTTGGGGATGTTGGTTAATGAGAAGTTCAACATGAGCCATCAGTGGGCACCTGCTGCCCAGAAAGCCAACCATGTCCTGGGCTACATCACCAGCAGCATGACCAGCCCATAAAGGAAGGTGAACCCCCCCACCTACTCTGCTGTCATGAGAGAAGGACATGGACCTGTTGGAGTGAGTCCAGAGGAGGCCACAAAGATGGTGTGAGGGCTGGAGCAGCTCTGCTCTGGAGACAGGCTGAGAGAGCTGGGCTGGTTCAGCCTGGAGAAGAGAAGACTCCAGGGAGACCTTTAAGCAGGTTCCAGTGCCTAAAAGGGGTGACAAGAAATCTGGAGAGGGACTTTTGACAAGGGCATGTAGGGATAGGACAAGGGGGTAATGGCTTGAAATTGAGAGAGGCAAGATTTAGATTAGATATAAGGAAGAAATTCTTCCCTGTGAAGGTGCTGAGGTGCTGGCACAGGCTGCCCAGAGAAGCTGTGGCTGCCCCATCCCTGGCAGTGTTCAAGGCCAGGTTGGACACAGGGGCTTGGAACAACCTGCTCTAGTGGAAGGTGTCCCTGCCCGTGGCAGGGGTTAGAACCGGATAAGCTTTAAGCTCCCTTCAACCCAAACCATTCTATGATTCTATGATGATAATTAAGTTGGGAAGTCTTTTTGCACAACATCCAAACCACTGCCCTGGTTTCACAGTCCAACTGTGCCCATACTGTTGCCTGGATGCCAGTTTAGGGCACTTCTCCCTACATGGGCAAGGATGGAAACTGCCTGTAAGCATGCAAATACTAAGTGGTGTTCAGTACCCCCTGCATTTGGGCAGTGCTGGTAACTGCCAAGCACAGGCACTCAAAGACAGCCAGATCAGTATTAAAGGAAACTGGGTGGGTCAGCTGTATGTTTAAAAGCACATTCATTTGACATAGACCTTTTTGGATAAACAGATCAACAACTGTTAGTTATGCTCCGAAGGGGTTTTGTGTTTTAGTGAGGTTTAGTAGCCTCATTAATAACGTATATGACTGTGAAAGTGATGAAATACTGAGAGCTTAAGGGAGAACTGACTCTTTAAAGGAAGCATACTACAAGTTATCAAAATGATAAAGCCTATGGGTAAGTTTAATTAGAATGCAGAACACTCACCTAGAATAAATAACTTAAAACAGAGAAAACTGAGGTCTTCTGGAGGAAGACAGATTAAATAAAAGCATTGAAAACAAATCTGTCCCCTCCAATTACACACTATGTCTTCGCTGGATAGATCCCTCCCTCCCATCTTCCTTTGCAGTCCATCAACTTCCAGTAGTTTCCTGGTTGCAATCCTCCTGGCACTCTATGAAAATCTACCTTCTGTCCATCACTAATGAGGTTTAGTTGTACTATCATAAAAAAGTCTCTTATTCTCCTTGGAAGTCTTCCTGCCTGTGTATTCACTGTTTGCTGTCTTTCTCACTGCCTGCATTCCTTACCTAGCAGTCCAGAGCTTTACGCTGGCTAAAAATGCCCAATCTTGAGGAAGGATAAGCCTTCCCTCCACACCTGAAAGCAGCAGCCAGGATGCAAGGAGAAGGACATTAGTTTTGTTGTGCATCCCCATTATTCGAACACAAAATTCAGAGTATTGCACAGTAACATGTAAGCAATTAAATAGCACAGGTCTGCTTGCTCCCTTCCCCAGGCCCATCACAAACATCATGCCTATTACAACACCCAGACTAGTTATAATGCCAATAAAGCCCAAGGTGAGGGCTGCTCTAGTTTAGAGTATTTTCTAGTGACGCTGCACAGATGCATAACATAGCAAGGCTAAGAGTGCTTCTAAAACTTGAGTAGTAAGTGAGTAGATATAGGAAATAGAAAATATGATATGAATAGATATAGGAAAAACATTGTGACAAAACCCCACTCTGCCAACATTCATGGTAACACAGTGATCCTGATTATATCAGTATTACATTACGTAAATCACAACTTTTAGGGACCAGCAAGATTAGACGAATTGTTTTCTGAAGCATGGGAACAGTTACTGCCAAGCATTTCCCAGGAAATACGTTTAATTGTCCTTAATAAACATATTCCTTAAGATAAAGGCTATAATTCATCTGTCTGAGAAGTGTTAGGAACATTATAACTACTGGAAATACAGAACAAATGCAATGTTAACCTTATTCTGTGTACATATGCATCCACATTTATCACATAAGCAAGAATCACTGCAAATGATCTGCAAATTAGAATCAACAGGAATTTAAATGAGAGAATATGGTCAGGAGCAAAACAGAAATATGATCCAGTTCTGTGGATCTGTACCTCTGCCTTTACCCACAAAGAATCGACTCTTCCCACAGCCTGTCACATTTGCTGTCCACAAATGTCCTATACATAGGGAGACTGTTGTCCAATGTATCTCTACACTGTATCCAATATATAGATACAATACACAGATACAATGTAGTTACAATCTATACAATAATTGTATAGATATAAATATATTGTAGATATTGTGAACATTGTATACAATATATACACAAACATGTAGACAATAAGAATATGAAGCTTCCATTTAAAGCTTATCTCCTACCTCTGGCTTAATATTTTCTGGTTTTGGGGTTTTTTTAAGATGCTATGCAGACACAAACCTGGCTGAGCTGCTTGCTTCTCAAATCGCATCTTTTCTTCTCTGGCTCTGTCCTCAGCATTTATGGGAATCCCAGATTCATCCCGAGGAATTATCTTTCCGTGAAAAGGGCACTTCAGAAAGAAAGGGATAAAAAAAAAATCAACTCCTGAATGACAAGAATATGTTTACATGTTATACAAGATAGCTTAAAGCCAGACACTGGAATCAAGCAACAAAACCCTATACTTGATTCCCAGTCTCCCTTAGAAAGCATGAAGATCCCATACACACCATGTGTTTAATATAGTCACAATCTCAAGGAAATAAGCTCTTTGTGACATGAATATGCAATTTCAAGAGGCCAGGTAGCACATCCTGTCAAGTCTGGAACAAGGGCACCAATGCTGCATCATATGTTGTTGCTTATGCTGTATGCCCATCCTGTAACAATCCCATTTCAAGTATTTTAGTGCATTCAAATTCTTGGATCTCAGATAATAGAAGAAGAACAGGGATATTAGAACAAAGTATTTAAGTGAAGTATTTCTGCTCATACGGCTCATAATTTAAGGTTGCACAGGATTTAGCTTTCGTAAAACCTAATTTGCCCCTCAAACATCCAAGTTTCTAAATACAGTTAATATCAAATGTGTCTCTAAATGAGGAGAGCTTTTCAGCAACTATCTCTGCTTTACTGACAGGTATATGTACTCATATATCACAGTAATAAATATAATATAAATATAAATGCCAAAAACATTTGAGAGTTCCTTAAATGTTCACAGCTTCCTTACCGAAAGGATTCTTCCCATATAAAACACACATAAACAGCAAATTTATCCAGATACAAACTTATTCTGCTGCCTCGAGCTACATTTGCAATGTGAAACTGATGCTCATGGACATGCTCCATCCCTGGCAGTGTTCAAGGCCAGGCTGGACAGAGCCTTGGGCAACACGGTCTAGTGTGAGGCGTCCCCTCCACGGCTGGGAGGTTGGAACTAGATGATCTTAAGGTCCTTTCCAACTCAAACTGTTCTATGATTCTACATTTCTGTTTTAACAAGATCTTCTCCATACAGCACATATCCTAGTAGTTACGTAACTTGGTGCCCACCTTAATCCGATCTTGTCTTTCACACAGCTTTCCATCAGGCATCCGTGCTCGGCATTTATGTTTCACTGGTTCAAACTTGCCAGCAAATGTGATGTATCTAGTTTTTAGCATTTCACTTATTTCTTTATTTTCCACCTCTTCCTCTACTTCGCTGGGTGCCCAAAATCGATGCTCAGAAGCAAATCTGGGGAAACAATGAATGAAAATGATTCACAGAGTTGTAAGAAAGCACATAAAGATGTCACAGTATCATCCTGTTGTGAACTTACACGCAAAAGGAAAGGAAGCTTTACTAGTGAGTTAGAAAAACCTAGGAATCTACCATTCTTTCTTGTGACTCCTATTTTATGAAGATGTTTTTCAAGTATCATCAAAGCCTGCCTAGTATTGGTTTCTTGTTTAACCTACCAACCTATTATGAGGCTTAGCTCTGGTTCATGATCTGACATTCAGCGCCAGTTGTCTGATACCCAGCTTCAGTGAATAACTTTGCAATTCTGTAGTTAATATTCTTCATAACAAAATACTTCTGTGATTAAACACAGAAGATAGATTAGGGAGGAAATAGTTTGATCTTAACTTGTCCTGGTAACTGTAGTCCTGCAGCAGTAGAGAAGCAGGAGCTGAAATCAGTGTTGCAATATACTGCGACCAAGGAAGAGAACAATCAATCAGCTGAACCTTACAGATATTCATTATTCCAGGTTCTCTTGTACAGTGTCCATAACTCTGAGAAACTTAAGAGGTGTTCCTCTAGGAAATTAAGCTAATTCACTGAAAACCTATTTTAAAATTAGAGATATTTACAGACAGATATAGGCAAATAGAAAAGAAGATTGGTACCATGTCAGTGGACGCGGGAGTGGGAGAGAAGGGGAGCAAGAACCCTTGAGTGATGGAGTATTTTCAAATCTTCTCAACAGTATTCATATAACTTCATTTTATTCACCCTAGACTGCCAATAATGAAAACCAGGCAACCCCAGAGAGTGATTACCCGACTCATTTTAGATGCCAGTCTTAGGATACAATGACTGTCCTGCTGGTAAATGTTTCTTTCTGCTAATTATGAAAAGAAATTAGGGTGACCAGCTTAAGCTCAGTTATCTAACTTTGAGACATCTGAAGTTAAACAACAACAATCCCATCCTAAATTTAAGGAAAAATAAAGTTCAAGAGGAAAAAATACAGCTAAACTAAGAAAAAAAAAGAAAATTCCAGCCTGCATGTGGATGTACTTAAATGACACATCTTAATAAGGACTCAAAATTCATAAAGGACCCTTTACAATCATTTTCTTCCACATAGCTTTTCCACCCAATCCATCTCAGACTTATATGAGAGGATTTCCTCTATTCGTATCCAATTCCTCTCACTCATTAATATCCTTGGATGCCAGTCCTACTTCTGAGACTTTGCCTTCTGTAGACTGCAGAGCCATACACACATAAGCACTGGCTTCACTAATCACAACAATCTCAATCCCACGAAGCACATAAGCTAATACTTAAAGAATTACTTTAGTGGGCCTGAAGAGTTTTGATGAATTTTATCTAAGCAAGTTTTCAGCAGATGACAAGGAGAAAAAAAAAAGGTAGAGGAAATTATTTGACCTTTGCAACCCACAACATATACAGCTGCTGGCTTTACTGCAATAGTTGACCATTTAAAACTATGTAAAGAGATTAGAAGTAGGTTAAAAGAGGGATTAAGCAATTTTGAAGCCATTGTAGGATTTGCCCAATCTTCAGAACAATGTTCCAACAAGTAATATCTTTGTTGAAGAGATTCATGTCATCCAATAATTTCTTCCTGGAATAGATCTTGTTAGTGCCAGAAGAATTCTAACCTGCCATAAAGTACAAATAACTTCCTTTTGGTAAATTAGGGGATAAAGGCAAAAGAGTTAAGAGTGGAGGCTAATTCAATATTAAACATAATAATGTGTTTCCACAATTTTTTGTTTAAATAAAAAGTTTTCAATCACACAATTCTGCAAACTATAGCCTAAACAAAATCTTCATAATACACCAATATGGCTTTAGTCAAACATTTGAATGGTGCAATATTTTAGCTTCAGAAATGATGTGGCAAGATTTTACAACAGACAGTAAATACAAGAATAAAACAGATTTCTTATTTGCTTAGTTTGAATACAATTCTGGAAACCAGACTGCCTGCTGGCTCTGTGTTACTAACCTTACAGACACAAGGAGGGGAAAGCACTGCTAAAGACACCACGCAGGATTTCTATGTGCAAGGTAGCCTTACAGAATCCCTGTGTAAAATTCTGGTGTCCTTTGGTGCTCTGAACTCCCCTCCCCATCTAAATTATCACATTACAGTTACATGAGAATGAAGCATTATTTAACAGTTGTACATGCCAACCTTCCCAATTAAGAAAACAGATCTCTTTAATATCCCCCACAAATCTGCATCCAATGAATCTCAAGAAAATTAAGATTATATTTTGCTCTCTCTGTCACTGATCAGTATTTGGGAACTGGACTTAAAATAGCCTGATTCCTACACAGGTATTAATAAATATTATTGTTTACTACAAGCATATAACTTATTTTCTCCCAGCATGGCTTACAAACAGGTGAGAAAAGAACAAACCAGAGCTGATTCCCAAAGGTTTTTGATTTACTGCTGTTGTAATTTAAACAACATTTTAAAAAGGCAGAACATGAGATCTTTGTTTGAAAAAACAATGCATGTGACAAGTAAAACCTTTTTGTAAGAGGGGTAAGAAGGAAAACAAATAATCAAACTAGAAGATCAACACCCCACTCACACTCATAGAAAGAGCGTTCCTGATCTAGACAAATAACAGAAGTTTTAATGGAAATTACACAGCTATACATTAGGAGAAATAAAAGACAAGTCATGGTTTACTGAAATCTAAAACTAAGTTCAGGTCCTGGAGAAATGCTGCAGTCTTTCAACAAATTTATGTCACCTTCATTCCTAAGATGATGGGAAGGTTATATCAAAAATTTGGACAAATGAATTCTAAAAGCTGTATGATGCATTCGGGAGGAAGGGCTAAATAAGCTAACACAAACATCCTAATCACAGTCATAAGAAGTGCTGCACCAGCTAATTTACTATGATCCTAACAGTAAGCTTATTTAATTTAAGGAGGAGGGTAGACGAGATTGGATGGTCCACACTATCTGATACAGTCAGTTAAGCTGGCATAGTTTCCACACAGTACAATGCTGTGCACTATACACTCTCTTCCCTCCAAATAAAGCCCTACTATAGCTTTATAAACTGTTAAAATGAGTTCTTAAACTAGTTTAATGAGTTGTGTGAGGGAGTGAAGGCAGCAGTAGGGAAAAATGGTTCGTCACAAACTCTTTGTAAAGCCCACAGTTACTGTCACCTTCTAGGGAAGGTGGTAGTTCACCATTTAGCAGCTAAACAAAGCTTTAGAAAATCATCTTCCTGGTAGCTGCATTTTATTAACGTCTAAATTTATTGTCAATGTTGTAATTAAGTAAATGTACTGTTAAATAGGCGAAGGAGAAAGACTCTTCCACTTCAGATTTTAAAAATTCAAATTCCATACACATTCTATACGTGTCGTCTGGTTTTTAGGTTTGCTTTCTTTCCCCTAGGCATCTTCTAGAGATGGTATGTGTGCATACAGAAAACTTAAAGGATTTGGCCAATGACTTCCTTAATTTCCCAATAAATATATTTTATACCCAGGGGTCAATGGTATTGTGTGTGCAGAGTTACTTAAATTATCTTTAGTTAGATTGGCATATCTGTAGTTATAGACTATAAGGGTCAGAAGTGTGCCCTCTATTTTATTGGAAAGTATAAAAATAAAACAGTACAGCACAAGGCAGGCAGGCAGTGAAATATGCTTCTGATTTCACTTATGACTTGAATAACTCATTTGCAATGTAAAATAAAGCCTTACTACCTTTTTGGCATTATCATAGACAAATGCTTCCTAGAGCCCTGCTGAAAATCTTAACCATTTTATAGGCTTTGAAGAGCTTACACCTCATGAGCCAGAACCCAAAGCTTGGAGTGACTGTGTCAAAACACTATTACGTATCAAATTTTGCTGGCTTTCAGTAATGCTGCATTTTATGCAATCAGGTACAGGGGCAAAGCTTTCCTCTTGTTCCTTTCTGCAAACACTGTGATTATGGGTTGGGGTTTTTTTGGTAAGAAAACAAACTAAGTTAAAGTAATACTGCTGAGAACATGAGAGTTTGATTTCCAACCCAGCCTGTCAATGATTTTTGCCTTTTTCAAGCCAGGTATGGTACACACTACAACCAAAGTTCTGGTGAAGTTAAATGAAACTTATACATAGAGGGAGGACTTTGTATCCCAACTTTCATATAAAAATACTAGTGCTAAAAAGGGACTTAAAAACCTGCCCACTAGAAACAGGTTCTATGTATACCTACCATCTCGTTTCCCTGGCATTGCTAAAGCTTCCCTAAGTCAGCAATGCTTCAAGTCCAAGAAACACAAAACCTTCCCAGACAAGAATGGAAAGTGAGAGATCCAAATTCACATCCTGTAACTGCCACCTATTTCTTGTGTGACTGAACAAGCATACCAATTTCCTCAGTTACCACTCTAAAGGCAGGAAAAATACCCCTGACACCTCCCAGCCTTTCTCCTACCTTGCCTGCTATTTATTTAGACTGTAAAGTCTCCATCAGAGGCAATGTCTATCTTGCACTTGAATAGCACTTTGCATAATTAGGTACCAATTTAAACTGGAGTGATGCCATGCTCAAGATAATAGACCAACATGAAAAGAGTGTGGGGGGGAAAAAGTGCTTTGAAGCATCAAAGGATATTTAATTAGTATAACATCTTCTCAAAACAAATATCATTTAAAGGTAGAATTTCTGACTTTGTTTATGGATCCTACAACATGAGTGAAAGGAGAAAAGTAATTATCAAAAGAAATGGGAGTCACCCCACTGCATGACCTCTGAGTACAAGTAAACCTACATATTTGTTTAATTTGTCTTAAAAGAAAAAGAGCATTACTTGAGAATCTTCCCAGCACTTGGCTGATCCTGTCCCCAGTAGTGAAGATCTAATCCAAAAGGCATGAGGGGAGCTTTAGCTCTTTCTTCTTCTAGTTTTCTTCTCTTACTGTCAGGCTCTTCCAAGCCTGCTGGCTCAGTAGTTGTAGAGTCACTGGAGAAAATTGATGAAAAGTCAATACAGAACAGCAATGATCACAGCAACTTTTTCTGTTTTCACGCCAGCGCTGATATTACCTTAGATCTAGGACTACAACTACTTTTACAGGGTTATCTTTTGTTGTTTTTTCTTTTTCTTAAGAAAAAAAAAGGATACAAACTACAGCTCCACACACTCTACATACAGCACACTGCACCATGAAGCTTAACTGCACATTCAGCTAGTGCCAGCTAATGGATATTATACTATGTGTGTAAAAGCCTAGAGATCTAACAGAGGCAGTAATGGGTCATGCATGCTGTACACTTAACAAATGCTACAGATGTGGTATTGCAAACCACGTTTTAGAAAGATTTTGCTTCTGTGAACTCATTCCCACGTTTGCATGTCAGGAGTTTGGGAGTCACACTGATTGCGAAGTCTTTTCTTTCGTTGACAAAATTCCATCTTGCAGATTTATACTACTTACTGTACAACACCACTACAGAATTCATTAGTCCTCAAAAAACAGCACTACTGTGGAGACCTCGGGTAGTCACTGACAGAGCTTCAAATGGTCTGGTTCACCTTACTGAAACATTACATTTTTAAAGATCATAATGTACACCTGAATACTCCAAACTCTGGAGTTCTAATGAATCAAACCCCTTTACTTGATTACATTCCAGCTTGCCAGGTTTTGGGGGCTTTCCTGGCCAATGCAGAAGTATCTTTTCAGGAACACATCACTAAGTAGATTACTCCACTCTTACTCTCAAATCACAGATAAATGCTAGACAAGGCTGGAGTTTCACCAAGCTTTGAACAGGATTGACAACAAATACATCTTTGGAATCAGTGTAATACATTTCCAGGCAGCACTGACAGCGTAAGTCACTAGGAACCAACAGATGGTTGAAAATACTTTCTAATGTAGTATTAGGATATGTTCAGTTTAATTGCAAACCAAAAATTACCTCAATAAAGGGGTGTTTTTTGTTTATTTTGGAGAGAACACTTCCTATTTTCATAGATGCCATTTGTACCAAATAAAACCTAAATCAAGTGAGTAGTAAAAGATTCCTTAAGATCCTGGTGCAGTCACTAACAACATCCCAAATACTAAGCAGTGAATGTACATTTAAGTAAAAAATTGTAACCAAAATAAAACCAAGATATCTTTAACAGCTTGCCTAGTTCATGAGTGCTTTCCTGTGTGCTTTTGTGAGTGATTAATACAAGTAAGAGCAAGAGGTTTCTACAAGAATTAAAACAAAGATAACCTGGCATGTGGAGGTGGTAACTTTGGTAGTTTGTCTCTGATAAGTTTCAGTGTGGCAGCTGCACAAGTTGGATCCAGTTCATCTTCATTCTGCTTCAGCTGGCTGCAGGAGCTCAGTGGAGCTGGTCTTTTTGATGTCTTCTCCACCAGTGCTTTTGGAGGTGATTGGGGTTCTAGCCCTGCAAAAGAACTTGATGTTTAGAGGTGATTCACTTCTCCCACCCTCAACTCTTCACAGTGAGGCCAAACAGCTCAGGATGCTGACTACATGTTTACTGCTTTCAGTTTGCATTAGACATCAATCCCACTCACAGACCGAGACATATTTCTGCCTGTGCATTTTTTGTTATTCTGGAACAGAAACACACTGAGTATCTAACTGCAGCAAACCAACTTTTAAATTTGTATGACATAGTGTGGCAACAAAGAATGATGTTACTTCACCTTGGAAGGATTTTAACAGTACATGTTTGCCTTAACTGCAATACTGCTTTTAAGTTTATAGTGTTGCTTCCTGGTACGTCATTTCTGTACTCCAGGTTATATCAAGGTAAAACAGAAGACAGGAACTCTTGGCACTACTGTTTAACACCTAGAGTCCCAAGAGACATCTAAGAGTAGCAAAAAGCAAGAGGGAAGGCATGCATCAATATCCTCCTGTGTGCTAAGATCAGTTCTTCGTGGTGTCTCTGCAGCAAGTCCTGCTAAAATCTTACAGCCTGGCACAGGGAAACCACTTCAGGCTGGGGGATTCACTGCAACACATGACTGCTGAGACCAGGAGCCATCGTCACCAAGCATAGCTGGTGGGGAAGTATACCCAGGGAAAAACTGTGTGAGGCACATCCCTGTTACTTGATCATTCTCAGCTACCATATTGACCCTTCTGAGCTGAGAAAATAAAATAGCTGTGTTTTGTTTCTTCCTAATTTCTTCAGGGGCAGCACCATTGAGAATAGTTGAGTTTTGATTTCTAAATACGTCTGCAAATCATTTGTATCTGTCTGCACAATTATCTAGAGAACATTCTTCTTTCACAGATCCTAAACCACACAACTTGCTAAGATAAAGGGTCTAAGTGCTGGCAGAAGCCACAAATATATCCACAGAATACACCCAAGAGACAGTAAATGCCTGAGCTACACCTGAGGAACAAACCCACTGCGAGGCAGTGCCAGGCACTGCTGTTCAGCACCAGCAGTTCAGTGGTGGGGCAACTTTAATCACTTTATATGGCTGGATTAGACAGTCAGCATGGACTGTAATGATGCAATTAGACAGGCTGAGCAGTTAGACAGCACATGCCTCTACCCACTGAGCTAGAGAAGCAACTTTATTAGCTGGCAGTAGTAACAAGAACTGTTCAGCCAATGACAGCTAAAAATAGAACGATGGGATCCCTCACACTAATGTAATAGACTGCATCTGCCCCCTTAGAAAGACTTTTTATAAAGAACTGACTGAAATGCAAGACACCATCCCCCAAAAAAACCCAAACCTAAATTAACACAAAGTCATGGTTTCACAAAACTAAACTTCAGCAAATTATCCCAACCTCCTTATGAAAGCAACCACAGTTTTCCTAACACGTTTTAGCCATTATTTAGTTGGGACTTCTAGTCTCTTGCCCACTTCTAGCCAGCCCTGAAGCTATATCCAGAAATATTCTTGCTTTGCTCACTTGCTTGCCTGTCATTACATGTATCACAAGATGTAGAAAAGGTGGTTTCCCTGTGAGTGAGAAATTGCAGGACCTGTAGTGTCAAGTAGCTTTGATACACAAAAATTTTCATTTCAGAGAAAAACTTATTTTTCACAAAGTTAGAGCTACTTGCCCTGACCACTCCTTCCACCTTGTAAGGTCTTTCAGTAACTCATCCTGACCTTGATTCATTTACACTGCTCATTCCCTGGAACCTATGGGGTGCAACCACACAGATGGTATTGACTGACTTGTTACAGGTCAAGAAGGTTGCTGAGGTGGCAACCTTCTAGATCATCTCCTAGGTACATATGGGTCTACATTTTCCAAGTACCTAGGATGAGGAGCTGAGTCCTTGTGCAGGGAATGACATCTCCTCCTTTTTTTAGAAGGCTCCAGGCTCAGGGCACTGGTATGGATGCCCTGTCAACCCCCCGCTTAACCTAGTTCCTGCACATCATCTCTCCAGAGAGAGCTGACAATCCCAATTCAAAATCCAGAGAGCTAGAGCCTCTCCAGAAGGGGAGGAGAAGCAAAAGCAGCCAGCCAGTTGGACCTGGCTTTGTGTGCATTGTAGCCTTTAAATTTTGCTGCACACACTGACTGGTCACTTAAGTCATTCCTAGATCTTCTGAATACAACAGATTCCATAGAAAACAGGCCACCCAGACTACTCTCAAGGATGAGGACTCTTCTAAGACCATCCGAGATCCTCTATCTCTCTCTAGTAGGGCATATACTGGTAACAACAAAGGAAAGTGTTTTAAGGAGAAGGCAACTCAGGGCAGAGGCCAGTAACAACTCTAGCAAGTGGCTTACCGGCCCCTTTCAAAACAAGAAGGGAAAGGAAATAAGATGTGAAGAAGGAGAGAGGATGAGAGAGCACCAGCCATCAGCAGTTAGTAAGCATTCATAGAGACTTCTCTGTCTTCTCATCACTCTCCCATGACATATTAATATATTCCTTCTGCTTATCTAGTGCATGACACACAAATGCAGACCATTTTATCACGATGGTTAAGGCAAGTTTATCAGAGATGCAACTTGTGTGTGACAATATTTTCCCACATCAACAGGGAGACCCTACCCAGCTCTGGCAGCTTGATGTGTTCCACCTTTCCTAAGAAAAGGTTACTTGAGTATCATGTGAATACCCCACAGGAGTGAACATACATCTCAGATCGGGTCTTGCCAGTCCCCTGGCTGTCCCTTCTTCAAGTTACTTGAAGACTTCAAGTACCCTGAAGACTTCAAGTACCCAACTGTCCAAACGTTTGCAGGCAGCAAGCACTGCAGACTGGACAAAGAGACATTCACCATGGTCTGAAGGCAACGTCAAACTCAGCTCTTCCCTGACTCCCTGTCCTGCTCTCTGGAAAACACCCCAAAACCAAACCAGTGCATCTTGAAAGACACTGCTGCTTGAGCTGTCCAACGCTTCCTGTGCACTGAAGTTAGCATGCAACCATAGAATCAACTAGATTGGAAAAGAGCTTTAAGATCATCAAGTCCAAGCATTACCCCAGGACTGCCAAGCCCACCACTAAACCACATCACTGGAGGCCTCATCTACGCAGTTTTTGGAGACACTTCCATGCATGGACTGTGATGCAAAGAAGGATCATCCCTTTCTAACTTTTATGTCCACAGAGTGTAGGTTAGAACCTACAAGCTGTACAAACACATGGGCTATCTTGCTGCTGGCTGGCGATGTTGCTGCTGCACATGCCTGATGCTACTACTACCTTACACAGGCATGCCCACATCACATATTTTAATGAAAGTGCTGAACATGCCACATTACCCTTGTTATCTAACTTCTTCCCAAAGTCAACAAGGTTTTAAAGAACACCGTTAAAGAAAATAATTCACACAACTAATCCGTGCCTAATTTCTAATGCTTGGAAAAGGGTCTCAAAAAAGTGAAACAGAATTAATCCAAAAGATTGTTATAGCCACACTTTAGAATCATCAGGACTCGGAAAAGTAAACTTCATTTTATGACAGAAACAGTCTGAACAGGCCCTTTGGTATGAACAATGTTAGCTGAGAAAAATATGTGATAGACTATCTGTAATGTAGAATTGCTTAGACTTTATTTAGCATTTTAAATTGCCTTTCACCTCTTTATTTAATAAGGACAAGAATACCTTTCTGAATAGCATTGTTTAAAGCAACAGTTTTGAGAGCATTTGCATGTGTACTCTTCACAAACTGTCTTGAAGTCAGAAGATACCAGGTATGTGTCTCTCACCACACCTTTTTTTCCCTCTTCAGAGAGAATATGTGCATGTGCATTCCAAGTTCTCAGCAAAAACCTAGGTTTTTTCCCATTTTTTCCCCATGATGCTTACAGAACTGCTTGTTCACTACACTGATTTTGTTTGGCTGGGGGAGAGGAGGAGAACAGCAGAGACAAGCAGTCAGCAACACAGAGAAAAGGCAAGAGAGATAAATGGACAATGTGACATTTAGCTAGATAAAATCACATCCTGAAGATCAATACAGGAATTCTTAAGAGTTACAAGAACAAAATATTTTCCCATTGATTTCTTATTTTAAGCCATTAACAGAAAAATGGCTAAAGGTAAATACATTACAACATCAGTAACACCACCTCCACTGTGGATCTAAGTAATATTTGTTTAGAAAATTAGTCTTCACTAACAGAACTAAGACAAGAGTCACTGTGCAGATTGCCCCAGCTGAATGGTATCCAATGTCAGGCTGGGATTTTTGTTTTAAGACACAGCTGGGATTAAGTGCAGTTGTAAAAGTAAAATTCTTCTCAACAATTCTGCTCTTCTGTGTGCTTTATTTAACACAAGTACAGTACCTGGATTCAAACTGTTCCAATAGCAGCTTTTAGAAAGAATCATAAAAATGTTCAAATCTCCTTTTTTTTGTTTAAATTGACCAAATGGCACCTATTTGCCTGAAGCAATAAAGTTAGACTGTGTTTCCAAGATCAATCGATAGAAGGAAAGAGAGAGGCTGGGGTTTCAGCTGAAGTTAGGCTGCTGAATGCTGACATTATTGATTTTAGCTAGTTCAGCTGGCCTTCTAATTAAAATGTAAATTTGAGAAAGAGATTATGTCCTGACAGAAATGGTGGGATTAGAGGGAGATAAAAGCCCTGCTCAGTGAAAATTCAGAGAAAGAGCAAGCCCAGGTTTCCTCAGCTGTGTGGATTTAGAAGAAATCTACCTACTTCAGATTCACTTAAGTTTAATTGAAAACACGGAGATAGAATATAAACAAGTATTATGGACTTCAACTTTCCTGGAAGAAATGAAATAAAAAAAGTCTATTTCCCATTTGTTGCATCTTAGTCAAGCCAAATGTATGTGATATGTATTTGTCCAGACACATTTCAAGGTTGTCAGGAAAATCCAGAAGTTCACATACAGTATTTCCCCACTTACCCTCTACTGTGCTGACAACGAAAAAAACCACCTTGCATGTATTTTACTCAGG